TAGGCTGTTTGTAGTTGTCCAGTACTTGGGCCGGGGATGATTAGGGCACAGGAATATTGACACCTGGAGTGTAGGAGCCAGCTAGAGGTCGTTGGCATTTGGGGCTCTTGATTGGTTAGTTTGCATATGAAAGGTGCATTCCTGGGTGAGTTTTGCTACCTCTAAAAATTGGCTAGCCCTGGGAGGGACAGTCTCTAACCAGTTAGTGAGACCCCAGATGGCAGAGCATCAAAGTACAAAAACAAGAAAATATAGTTAATGTGCATCCCCTCCCGACCCTTTGCCAAGTTAACATCTGTTCTTCTTTAGTTATCATCTCCACGTGGCTTCTCTGGGAAGCCTTTCCTAACTTTCCACTCCAGGACAAATCACTCATTAGCCATATATTCTACCCTTTGTAGTCTTTACTTCAGTTATAATTTTCCATTTATTTTTGATTTTTTAAATTAAGGGCTCACTCTTCCAATAGACTACACACTCCATGAGGCCTGGGACCTGCCTGTTTTGCCTTATTATTGTCTCGTGAATGCCTGGTGTGGTCCTCGCACATGCTGTGAATATGTAGGTCATTGAAATGGTAGAAGCCAAGCAAGGATGGGTAGGACTGTTACACTGTGGGTAAAAAGGTCATTGGGTTCCAGGTCATGGAGGACTATGCATTGTTACTGAGTTTGGACTTGTTCCATTCAGCAAATGGTTACCTATTAATGCGTTTTAAATAGATGATCAATATGGACAGATTCTTGTGAAAAGAAAGGATTGAGAGTTTGATGCTGGAGGCAGGATTGTAATTCACGACTCTGTTGCAGGAAGTCTGGATAGGAGATGATGAATGGAACAAGAAATGCTAAGGAGGATGAGCAAACAGGACCTGGTGATGGATTGGCTATAAGGGAAAAGTATGGGCCACCTTTTGGGACCTTGCTATGGGGACACGATGTGGTCATTGTCTAAGAAGGAATATAGGAGAAGTTGCAAGTTTGCAAAAAGTAAGTTCAATATGGGCATGTTGAGTTCAGTATGGCAGTGGACTATCCAAGAGAAGATGTCCTCTTATCGGCATTTGGGAAAATGAATTCAGAGCTTAGGAGAGAGGTTTGGGCTAGTAATATAGATGTGGGAGGCATTACCATGTAATCAGTTTGTAACTCAGCTGTATGGTTTTCGCTTTGGCTCTCCTCCTTTTCCCTGACTTAATGGTGCAGCTTATTTAAGAATTTAATATCTAAAGGGACCGCATTCTTCCTTTTGACCTTCTTGCATCAGTGATGAATCAGGGTTTATGGATGCCAAGCAAGAATGTTCAAATATACTTTATTGTTCCTCGCCTGCCAAATCTACTGTCTGCTTTCCATGTGCCGAGCTGTGTGGTAAGTGCTCTTCATTCATTATCTCCATGACAAGCCTATAAACTGGGTGAACTCTCTATTTTGTAAATGAGGAATGACAGAGGTTCAGTGACTGACCCAAGGTCGTAGCCAACAGTAAGTAGTAGTGCTGGATTTGAACCAGGTTTCCCTGCTTCTGTGTGGCCTTTGCTCTTCTCCACCAGCCTGGGTTGCTTCCAAGTGCCCACGGCTGCTGATGGTTTGTCCTATTCCTGAATACACTTATTCTTTCTTTCTTTGATATATAAAAGACCTCTTTCAAAAAAAGTCTAGAAATATATACAAAAACATTAATAGTGATTATCTCTGCATAATGAAATACGATTTTTGTTTTCTTTTCCATACTTTGTACTTCCTGAATTTTATGAAATAAACATTTACTACTTTTTATAACCAGAAACATAATGGCACTATTTCCATCACAGTGATTTTTTTTTCCACGCAGAGTATTACAGATGGCATTTACTGCAATTTAACCGTTGCCTCCCACCTCCCCCCATCACATTCATGGGGCTCGTTAAAAGCACCATTACTGGTGATTATTTTGCTTGAACACAGTCTTAGCCAAAATGACAAGAAGTGATAATTCTGCTAAAGACTCACAGAAGCCTGTAGGCCCCAGTAGGAAGAATGTATATTGTGGTATCAAGACCTCAATGAAGGTTTTCTTTTTTCCCTTCAACCCCTCACTTTACACAATGTAACTACTGAGGTGCTAAGTATGCATGGCAAGGGGAATGGAAACCTTTGACACATACAGAAAGCACTGGAGATTTGGGGAAATTATATTTTTTAAGCAGAAGAGAGGAGAAATGAAAAAATAAAAGTAGGAAGCAGACATTTAACTGCTGTTTCTCTTGTACACAAATATGTGCCAGTTCAGTTCCCCTTAGCTGTTAAGGTAGCCATTGACACGTGCCCATTTAACCTTCTTACTTCTCCACTAATAAGAAATGCCTTGTTAGATTGGATTTGGGGGTTACATAAAATTATACCCCTAGGAAACAAAAACATTTTGAGACTGTGGAAGCAGGCATTAAATAATTACATTCAGAAGAAACACAGCAGAAAAGAAGCACACTTTTTAAAAAATCCTGTATGAAATAAAATTAATTCTCTGGTTCTCTGTAGTTTTGAATTGGCCTGCTTTTAAGTTGCAGGCTTTTAATTGGAAGAAACCCACTATTTCTATATAAAGATATTTAATGAAGAATATTTGATTGCGGCTATAAAATCCAGTCCCGAACTCACTGTCATGTATACCTTTTTGGCAGAAAAAGTGCAAAACAAAACAGAACAAAACAAAAATCCGCTGTACCTGAGCAGTGCCCGTCTGCCTTTTATTCAGCAGAGCTCGGCTGTTTCCGCCTCTGCGCATGCTCATCTTTCTGTGCGGTGCCGCTGGGCGCTGCCCTGGGACCTTGGGCAGAGGCGGGGCGTGCGCCTGGAGTACCTGCAGAGCACTGACACCGCACCCCTATCCCTGTCACGCTTCTAGGGGACTCTGGTGTAAGTTACTGGGACGGACGTTGAAATTGCATCTAGCGCCCTGAAGCAGTTAGACCTGCTTCATAGAGGTACCGACCAGAAATAACTTATTTATCCCAAAGAGATGGCCCTAAAGTTCGCTGTGGAAGTTCCATGTGCAAAGGTTACACCTTCTTTCCTCCCACAGTAGAACTTACCAATTCTAAAAAAGTAGGATTTGGAGAGTAAGTTTAAACATTTCTTGAAAAAAATTGGTGCTGAAATCAAAATGCTTGGTATTGCTTTGATTAAATCTGCTGAACGGGAAGCCGGGGATATTTTTATTGAATGGCTGTGAGTCGACCCTTAGATGTTTGAGTTGTGATGGATTTTAGTGGTTAACTGTGGTAAACTTCATTTTCAAGATAAGCATTTATTCCTTTTCAGTTGTGTGGGCAAATTGAGCTATTAAGAGCCAGGATCTTATGGCTGATTCCTGAAGTCATCTAGCTTGACTCCTGTTAGGAATATAATTAGAGTGTCAGCTCCCACCAAAAGAAATAGAATCTAAAGTAAAACACGATTGAATCAGGCAGTGGTGGTGATGATGCAGCTGTTACTCTGAGCTCTGTTCTTACACTTTCTTCATCACACATTTCATTATTTAGAACAGCATGGTACAATAGAGTCATAATGGAAGCCACATAGGTTGATTTTGAATTTTCTAGTAACTGCATTAAAAACAAAAAAGAAACAGGTGAAATTAATTATAACAATATGTGTAATTCACTATATCCAGAACAATACCCTTTCAACAGATAATCAGTATAAAAATGATTAATGAGACATTTAATATTTTGTTTTTTTCACTCCTGGCTTTTGGTATATATTGAACACTTATAGCCCATCTCAAACTACGCTAGACACATTTCAAATGCCAAATAGCCACGTGTGGCTAGTGGCTGTCATGTTGGACAGTGCAGATTTAGAACAGATTCCTATAAACCTTCAAATATTATAGAAACATACATTAAAATAGAATATATATATTTTAGAAAGAGTTCTTAATACTATTAGATTACTGGAAAAAAGGGGATAAGGATGTTGGAAATACTTAAACAGATGAATGAAGTAAAATAGCTACCTGATGGTATTCTGCATGCCTTAAGTTAATGGAAAATATTGTTCACATAATAATAATTACAAGTTGAAAAGAAGGGGGAAAGTAGGACACAGCCCACTCTCAAGCTACTAGAAATCGGTAAGTTTTCTATCAACAAACCTGCAAGGCCACTATGGTTCTTGCAAAGTTAGAAGGTGAAGTTTCACCGGTATCCTGGCTCTCTGGGGATATTATATTTTAGGGCCCTGGCTATGCAGTCTGAGAACTTACAGAGACAAGTAAAATCCCCCACAATGAAGCATTGCTATAGAAACTTTAAAAAAATTGTCATTGATTGTCTGAATGTTTGAGGCTAACGAAGAGTAAAGAACAGTTATAAATTGTTCGTCTCAGGTGGATACCATATAGAATTATTCAGGATAGGAATCTTTTCTCTGAGATTTCTTCATTTCCTGAGAGTAAACATGTAAAAATCTGTGTTTTAGCTTATTAATTCAGAATAGGTTATTTTTACTCAAAGTTGTACTCAATTTGAAGTTTTGGAAGAGTAGGGTCAATTTACTTTCATATGGTCTGTGTCATCTAATCATGGCTCCTACTCTGCCTGCCTTCACATTATCTTTAGTAGAAAAAACGTATCACCTGAGAGCTATAAAACACGGTAAAGGTAGAGAAATTGTTTTCACTGGTATGTTTCTAAATAGTTGCGAAGTAACATTTCAGCCAGTGAAACCTAAACCCCCCTTCAATCCCTTTATCAAGATGTCTTTAAGTATATGGATTTTAAGAGGGGCAAAGTAAGGAAAAATGTTAAATTCTAAAACATTTCTCTGCTCAGAGCCTTATAATGGAGGATTTTATTGCTGCTGGTTTTCACGTTATCAGTGGAGAGCAGTTCCCGTTCTCCCACTCCTGTCATGCAAACTTGAGGGAGTCAATCTGAATTTCTTGCTTGCTCTTTCTTGGATTGATTTCTAAGAGATCTTTTTTCCCCATTTTTATTTTTTTTTTTTGGCACCCAGGAATTAAATAGCTTTAATTACTTGGATCTGTACAGACTTGCTGACCTCTTTAACCTCACTTTGTTGGAGAAGGCAGTGATCGATTTCTTAGTGAAACATCTCTCTGAACTCCTGAAGAGTCGCCCGGAAGACATTCTAACGCTCCCTTATTGTCTGCTTCAGGAGGTCCTGAAGAGCGACCGCCTGACCTCCTTGAGTGAAGAGCAGATCTGGCAGGTAAGGGCGCTCTGCGTGGGGTCCTCTGTTGGCGCGAAGGCATGGAATGATGAAAAATGAAAGGATGGAGGAGCAATGACAACGATTTTGTTTGGTTTGGTCCACATTGGAGTCAAAGTCTTAGAAGTCATGCTCTTTGATGGGCAAGTAATTGGAAAACACCAGCCCTTGAGGCTCACAGACCTCGGGCCTCTCAGCTTAACTCGGGGAATCACAGGTGAGATTCCTCAGACCCTCATCATGGCTTCCCAGGACCTAAGGTAATTACATCAGAGTCAAGGGTTTTTATTCCCCTGACAAACATAGTTTCTTAAACTGAATGTGAGAAGAATGGATTATAAAGCGATGTTTATGCATATTTAAGACCAATGGAATTAGAATAAATTCTGGGCTTTCCTGTAAACAATTCAGAAACATTTCTTTGTTGCAATAGAAAGCAGCTGGGGCCTTAAATGAGATGAAGCTCTTCTTGTTCTGCAGTGGAAATATCTCCTCCTTGGTTCATTCTACATTCATTGCTGTTTTCCTAAGCCCTGTCTTTTCACCTGACATGGCATTCTTTTCAAGTATCCTTTGTCTGGGGACAGGAGGATGTTTTGTGTTTTCATGTTGATTATTCAATTTAAATCCATTTCTGCTTGTCCCCAGTGACTGTCCCTGAACAATCCACATGGCGTCTTTGGGAAACAGTCAGAGGCCATCTTCCCCTGCTGCTGCTTATGCTGTCTGCCTTCCTCTCTGAAGCACTGACTAGCTGTCTTGCTACTTCTAGGGCGCCATACCTTGGAGATTTCATGATCATTTGAAAAATATTTATACACAAAATACAAGGGAAAATACGAAATCATCTATTAGCTGATGAGGCAGTGAGTACCCTGTATCATATCAAATGACATTCAGAAAATACTGGCCAAAACAGAGTCGTAGGTAGCTGTTAAATTATCCAGCATCTAATTCTACTGATTGCTAATTTTCCTGATGCGTTTTTCCATTGTTTCTGTCTTCATCTTATTTTAATCAGCAACTTCCCTCTTCATGGCTGCTTCTACCAGTGAGGGTAGTGAGAGCTGTAGTGTTCTGAGGGCCTTCCAAGACCTAGGCTCTTTGCAAACTTATTAATTTATCATCACACCAGGTCTGAAGGATGGCTGTTATCATTCCATCCTCCAGACAATCAAAATGAGGCTTCAGTGTCTTGCCTCAGGGTTACAGAGCAGAGCCAGACTTCAAATCCAAGTTTGCCGACACTTGCCCTCATCTCTCCAGTATGTCACACTGTCTTGACAAGAAAATATAAGTGAAAAATACAAGCCATAAATTATTTTCTGCTTCTTAGGTTTTTCTCATAATGTTTGTTCAGCAGAGGTCAAAAGTGTTGGTGAGGATGAGTTTTTGGTATGAATTTTATCTGTAGAAAATACAGATCATCAGAATTACTCTGATCTATTCAGAGTAGTGAATTGCCAAGTTTTTCTTTACTTCTTGAAGGGAAAAAGAAAAACTTAGAATGAATTCAGCATTTAATGATTTCTAACCAAATTGAAGTTTGAGCTGACCATCCTTGTGGCTTCTGTCTCATTTTGTGGCATGGTTGAACGCCATGGATACCAATATGGTAATGTGCAGATGTGAGTATCCAAAAAATTCCATACTATCCACATAGGAGTTATAATCGCATCTCTAAAGGTTACTAATATTATAATGTAGAATTTCAGAAACTGCTTTCTGCTGCAGGCGATATTTTTTATACCTGGTCCTCAAGAAAGAATTAAAAGACTCACAAATATTATCAATTTCGGCATTCAGCAGGCAATAAGAAACTGTTTTTGCTTTATCTTAGTAAATAAGTAATTCCCACGTACTCAACCCAGTAGAGGAAAATCAAATCAGTCCAGTTATATTGCCTCAAGTATAGTTAAGTTCATCATTTTTGCTGAGGTTATACTAGTAATGCAATATAGCATGGAAGAATCTAATATTCAGCCCAGGGTGAAGATTGGGTATGCCAGAGGATTAGTGTCAGGGTGCTTTAGAGAAGTGAAACTTGATGGACAGGCTGGAGACAGATCTACAGAATCTCATTAAATTGCTGAATTGTTCATTACGAAACATTCTCACTGTAATAAAGTGCTCATTGACTTTGACAAATCCCTATCCCACGTCTTAAAGAAGAACAGTGAAGCAAGGGGTGTTGGGGAGGCAAAAAGAAATTGGCACAGAGTAGGACAAGTAATAGAAAAGCAGGTGGAGGGCTAGTGCTGTTTGATTAATCTGTGCAACTGGTAACACGTGAGAGCCCAGTAAACACACACACACACACACCCCTATACATGTGGCTCTTCCACTGTCTACTCTACCTGTAGTGTGATCTGGGATATTTGCTTTATTTGGCAAAAGGCCAATTTTTTATTAATCACCAGATTTCATGCAGTCTGGCTCTGAAGACATGTCACAAGAACCCTCAGGTTATCCTCACTGAGCAAACTCTTTTTTCTGCTGTCCCCTCTCCAGTTCCTTTCCTGCTAACATGTGCTACAGGCCGTAATAACCATTCTGTGGATCTGGAGACTTGAGAAATCCCCCAAGATACTGCTTTGTATCTGCCCTTTTTTTTTTCCCATATGACCTTTTAAAACTTGATCTCAAGTCTCCTCTCTCACAGAAGTCTTCTTCATCCCCCTTAGACATTTTTTTCACCCTTCCATAGCCTGAAACTACTTGATCTGTTCATTAACTTCCCTTTATATTCGCAGGTTATGTAGAGACTGCACCGTATACGCTGATACATTAGGACTGAGAAGTCCCCTCAAAACATCTTTTCTTAATAAAAAATTCAGTTGAATTCAGCTCAACAATTTGGTCTTATGGTTCAAGGCCAGCAATTTCTCAGGTTCCAGATGAAAGACACCAAATTGGTTCTTGGGCTCAAAGAAAGAGGAGACTAAAAATGAGCAAATCAGCTGAGGAGGAAACAGGGGGCACGAGGTCCCTGGCCTCCATGACCTGGCACATCTTCTTCAGCTTTATTTTACTTTCCAGCTTTAGCTCTAACTGAAACTCTGTTTCAACAGGGCTGTGTTAAATTTCTCCTGTTAGATTCAGCGCGTAGTTTCAGACTACTGACCCCGGGGTCCTGCTCTAAAAAGCAGAGTGAAATAATGAAAGGATCCCACACCACTCCCACATATGGGGTCTATTTTCCTTTCACAGGAAGCACTGGCTACTCTGTTTTTTTTCTCCCCCTTCAGGAAAGTGCATTCTCTGCCTTTCCTACCTCAGATTCTCTTTTCCAAGAATGAGGGGGACATTACTTTCCATGCAAGTCTAGTTTATAGAAAAACCTGAATGTAGTGTAAGTTCTTATATTTGCTAGCATATGGAGGAGGTGTGACTGTCTGTCCATCAATGTTTATTGAGCACCTACTGAATGCCCCAAACCATGGACTGTAAGGCAGAGTACAGGTTAGCTAACTCCATTTCCCTCTCCCTGGCCTCACCCCAGTTGGGAAGGATCCTTCGGATTTTAAACTATTAACCCAGCTCTCTGTAGAAATAAAATGAGTATTTCTTGAGCACCTGTTACGTGCTAGGCATAGTGTTAGAAGCTAGATCCTGGAGTGAAAAGCTTTATAAAAGTATTCGATTATTGGAGTAGAGAGATTGAGTTTAGCATCATCTCTGATTGTGGAGAAGTTTTATTTACCTTGAATTATTAATTTGTTAACTGTTTCCTACTTTTAGCCAAGAGGACTTGTTACTTTATAAGGGTGGTACATATGTCAGCAGTTTTCTTCCTTTATTAACCTTGGGTTAAGGGCTCCTCCTTGTATTTTGAGCCTAACTTTGCCTGGACTTCAGTGGATAATGAGACCAAACAAGTCAGTGGTCACATCACAGATGTCAGACAAAATCACACTTCTTTATCCTAGACATGTCTCATTTTAGTTTGGCAAAGAGGGACCACGTCACCTGGTTTGGAGCTGGGGTGTAATCGTGTTTAAACTTGTCTTTGATTATACATCCCCAAAGGCACAGGTGTGCTGTAGGGTTTGCATTGAATGCTACCAAGTTGTCCTCTTGCACTCTATAAATAATAAAAACAATAATGTAGAGTTTTCGTATTAAAATGTATTGAGTGGATAATAAAGGCTGTGTTCATTCTAGGAAGATTGGTATATATGCAAAATGAATTTAGCCTTTTAAAACTGCATTCTTCCTTGTGTTTTTGTTGGAAATTTGCTTTCGTAAGTCATACTGTTAATAACACATTCAATAACACATTCACTTTGTATCTCTACGGACGTGAGTCACATATTGTTTAGAGTGGTCAGCAACCTCAGGTGCTGTGATTTCTCCTTAAGCTCCTCCTGGGCTTCCATCTCCTCCACAAACCACACACCTGAGAGTCTGATTTAATCGTTTTCCTCCAAAGGAGTCTCAGAAGGTAGAGCCAAACAAAAAGCTACTATCCCTTAATGGTTGGAAAATAGAGGGCACTCCTGATGTACTGAGCTTTTGTCTTTTATCTCTTAGATGATAAACTGCCCCAGATGCACCTCTGGCCAGCGAGAAGCAAGGACGTCGCACAGGTCTATGTGTCCAACAATACTATCATAATACTTCCTCTTTGAACATCACATCACGGTTTCCAGAATGCTTCTGCCTTTTGCATTGCTGTGCTCTCCTGTGGTACGAATGTGAAAACCGAAGTCACAGAACTAGAAACCAAATTCATGTCTTCTCATTCTTGGGCTTTTTCCACTCTGGTCCACAGCATCTAAGTTCATAATAGAAGTGAAGAAATACTTGGGAGTGGTGGACACAGAGGTGCATCCAGTTAATCCTGTGACCTTAAAAGAACTTAGGAAGGGCTTGGCCATTCCTGTTCTCTGATCTAGTGCCCACAGGTTGGAAGGATAATGGCCCACTCTGCCTGCCTTCCTGCCTGGGTCATGTTGCTAACTCTAATTCTCACTCCATGTTCCTAATTCATTCTTTCA